CATAATACCCTCCAGTTCCATCCGCATAGAAGCAAATGGTGGGTATTCGTCATTTCTAATGGCTGAGTAATATTCCATTGTATACATAAACCACATCTTCTTTATCCATTCATCTTTTGATGGACACTGAGGCTCCTTCCACAGTTTGGCTATTGTGGACATTGCTGCTATAAACATTGGGGTGAAGTTGTCTTGGTCTTTCACTGCATCTGTATCTTTGGGGTAAATCCCCAGCAGTGCAATTGCTGGGTTGTAGGGTTGCTCTATTTTTAACTCTTTGAGGAACCTCCACACAGTTTTCCAGAGTGGCTGTACCAGTTCACATTCCCTCCAGCAGTGCAAGAGGGTTCCCCTTTCTCCACATCCTCTCCAACATTTGTTGTTTCCTGCCTTGTTAATTTTCACCATTCTCACTGGTGTGAGGTGGTATCTTATTGTGGTTTTGATTTGTATTTCCTGTTGGCCTTTTTGACTTTCATATTTCTACACTTACATGTTTTATTTTTTATTTTTTGGTGTGTAACCCCATCCTTTATTTTGATGGGAATTAAAAGATGAATGCACAAAAATTCATTATGAGTATATTTTAATGGGCACACTATATATAAAAATGTAATTTGTGACATTAATAACATAAAGTTGGGGGGTTGACCTGTAAAAGTAGAGTTTTTATATGTGATTGAAATTAAGTTACTTCCTTTTTTTTATTTATGATAGTCACACAGAGAGAGAGAGAGAGAGGCAGAGACACAGGCAGAGGGAGAAGCAGGCTCCATGCACCGGGAGCCCAACGTGGGATTCGATCCTGGGTCTCCAGGACCGCACCCTGGGCCAAAGGCAGGCACCATACCGCTGCACCACCCAGGGATCCCGAAATTAAGTTACTTCCAATTTATATTACTATGTTATAATTTCAGGATGCTATATGTATTCCCCATCATAGCCACATAGAAAATATCTCTAGAATATATACAAAAGGAAAAGAGAAGATAATGAAAATATATAACAACAACAAAAATCAACTAAATACAAATGAGGATAGTAATGGAAGAAATGAGGAACCAAAAAAGCTGTAAAACATACAGAAAACAACAAAATCCTAAAGCAAATACTTCCCTGTCAGTAATTACTTTAAATATAAATGGATTAAACACCCAAATCAAATATATAGATAGAGTGGATTAAAAAACAGTATCCAGGGGATCCCTGGGTGGTGCAGCGGTTTGGCGCCTGCCTTTGGCCCAGGGCGCGATCCTGGAGACCCGGGATCGAGTCCCACGTCGGGCTCCCGGTGCATGGAGCCTGCTTCTCCCTCTGCCTGTGTCTCTGCCTCTCTCTCTCTCTCTCTCTCTCTGTGACTATCATAAATTTAAAAAAAAAAACAGTATCCAGCTTTATGCTGTCTACGAGAGACTTATTTTATTTTTTTAATAATTTTTTTCCATTTTTTAATAATAAATTTATTTTTTAATTGGTGTTCAATTTGCCAACATACAGAATAACACCCAGTGCTCATCCCGTCAAGTGCCCCCCTCAGTGCCCATCACCCATTCACCCCCCCCTCCTTCCCTTCCACCACCCCTAGTTCATTTCCCAGAGTTAGGAGTCTTCATGTTCTGTCTCCCTTTCTGATATTTCCTACCCATTTCTTCTTCCTTCCTTTCTATATGTTCTCATTCATTTGGGGAATATAAATAATATAAATAATACATGTTTTAGATGTATTTTTCACTTCTGGATTCCCTTCAACATAGTCAATTTAATTTTGGTAGATATGCGAGATATGGGTATTTGTTTTTGTTGTTTCTGCCTTGTTTTGAAATACAATGGTGGAAGTTAGCTCCTTCTAAAACACTACCAACATACACCCAGAACAAAGGGGAACACCTTGCTGGATCATTCTGTGTGATTCTATTCTCCCTTTCTTCCCATTCTTACCCCCACCCCCGTTATCTTCTTTATGTTTTTGTGGTCAATGTTAGGGCTTTATATAAGTATTACTGATTTATATAAATTTGGGGTTGAGCATCTTCTAACATACAGAGCAAAATAAACTTAGAACCAAGAGGATCACCCCCTACAAGCCCTCAGGTAGACTACATTCTCTCTCTACTACCACTTACTCACCACCACCATTCCCCCTTTTTTGTGTTTTCTTTTTTTATTGCAGTTCTATTAGTGAACATATAGTATAACACCCAGTGCTCATCCCATCAAGTGCCCATCTCAGTGCCTGTCACCCAGTTACCTCATCCCCCCACCCACTTCCCCTTCCACAACCCTTTCTTCATTTCCCAGATTTAGGAGTCTCTCATGGTTTGTGTCCCTCTGTAATTTTTCCCACTCATTTTCCCTCCTTTCCTTTATAATCCTTTTCATTATTTCTTATCTTTATGTTATTTCTATTTCTTTTTCATTTTTCATCTTCTTTGTTTTTGGCTTTGGCTTTTAATTTTTACTTCTTTGTTTTAAAATTGTTTTTTCACTTTAGTGAACCTTTATTTTATTTTATTCTGTTCTTCTTTTTCTTTTATTTTCTGGTCTCTGACCTCTTCAGAATCATCTAGGGTATATTTGGCTTCGGTCATGGTTGAGATTTTTGACTCATCCCTCTCATACATACACTCTGCACTGGACAAAAAGACTAGAGGAAGAAATCACCACAGAAAAAAAAAAGAAATGGAAAAAGTACTCTCTGCCACAGAGCTACAGAATTTGGATTTCAGTACAAGTCAGATTTTCAATTCAGAAGTACAATTATAAAACTACTGGTGTCCTCACTCATTTGGGGAATATGAATAATAGTGAAGGGGAATATAAGGGAAGGGAGAAGAAATGTGTGGGAGATATCAGAAAGGGACACAGAACATAAAGACTTCTAACTCTGGGAAATGAACTAGGGGTGGTGGAAGGGGAGGAGGGCGGGGGTGGGGGTGAATGGGTGACGGGCACAGAGGGGGACACTTGACGGGATGAGCACTGGGTGTTATTCTGTATGTTGGTAAATTGAACACCAATAAAAATTAATTTATAAAAAATAAAAATAAAAAAAATAAAACTACTGGTGTCAATCAAAATCCTAGAGGAGAACACAGGCAACACCCTTTTTGAACTTGGACACAGCAACTTCTTGCAAGATACATCTATGAAGGCAAGGGACACAAAAGCAAATATGAACTCTTAGGACTTCATCAAGATAAAAAGCTTTTGCACAGCAAAAGAAACAGTCAACAAAACTAAAAGACAACCTACAGAATGGGAGAAGATATTTGCAAATGACATATCAGATAAAGGGCTAGTTTCCAAGATCTATAAAGAGCTTATTAAACTCAACACCAAAGAAACAAACAATCCAATCATGAAATGGGCAAAAGACATGAAGAGAAATCTCACAGAGGAAGACATAGACATGGCCAACATGCACATGAGAAAATGCTCTGCATCACTTGCCATCAGGGAAATACAAATCAAAACCACAATGAGATACCACCTCACACCAGTGAGAATGAGGAAAATTAACAAGGCAGGAAACAACAAATGTTCGAGAGGATGCGGAGAAAAGGGAACCCTCTTACACTGTTGGTGGGAATGTGAACTGGTGCAGCCACTCTGGAAAACTGTGTGGAGGTTCCTCAAAGAGTTAAAAATAGACCTGCCCTACGACCCAGCAATTGCACTGCTGTGGATTTACCCCAAAGATTCAGATGCAGTGAAACGCCGGGACACCTGCACCCCAATGTTTATAGCAGCAATGTCCACAATAGCCAAACTGTGGAAGGAGCCTCGGTGTCCATCGAAAGATGAATGGATAAAAAAAGATGTGGTTTATGTATACAATGGGATATTACTCAGCCATTAGAAACGACAAATAGCCACCATTTGCTTCAACGTGGATGGAACTAGAGGGTATTATGCTGAGTGAAGTAAGTCAATTGGAGAAGGACAAACATTATATGGTCTCATTCATTTTGGGAATATGAAAGGGAACAAAGGGGAAAGGAGAAAATGAGTGAAAATATCAGTGAGGATGATAGAACATGAGAGACTCCTAACTCTGGGAAACGAACAAAGGATAGTGGAAAGGTAGGTGGGCAAGGGGTTGGGGTGACTGGGTGCCAGGCACTGAGGGGGGCACTTGATGGGATGATCACTGGGTGATATGCGGCAAATTGAACTCCAATTAAAAAAAATAAATAAATAAAAAATTTTTTAAAAAGAAGACATACACATGGCCAACAAGCACATGAGAAAATGCTCCACATCACTTGCCATCAGGGAAATACAAATCAAACCCACAATGAGATACTGCCTCATACCAGTGATAATGGCAAAAATCAACAAGACAGGAAACAACAAATGTTGGGGAGGATGTGGAGAAAGGGGAACCCTCTTGCACTGTTGGTGGGAACGCAAGCTGATGCAGCCACTCTGGAAAACTGTGTGGAGGTTCCTCAAAGAGTTAAAAATAAAGCTACCTATGACCTGGCAATTGCACTGCTGGGAATTTACCCAAAAGATACAGATGCAGTGAATCGCTGGAACACCTGCACTCCAATATTTATAGCAGCAATGCCCACAATAGCCAAACTGTGGAAGGAGCCTTGGTGTCCATGAAAAGATAAATGAAAATGTGGTCTATATATACAATGGAATATTATTCAACCATTAGAAATGATGAATACCCACCATTTGCTTCAACATGGATGGAACTGGAGGGTATTATTTTGAATGAAATAAGCCAATCAGAGAAGGACAAACATCATATGGTTTCACTCATATGAGAAATATAAAAAATAGTGAAAGGGATTATAGGGGAAAGAGAAAATGAGTGGGAAAAATCAGAGAGGGTGACAGAACATGAGAGACTCCCCAGTGCTATACTATATGTTGGCAAATCGAACTCCAATTTAAAAAATAAAAAGAAAAGGGGGGGTAAGGATAACAGGGAAAGGAAGAAAAACCTTGCTAATAGCTTACTCTCTTCTCTTTTAGGTTTCTAGGACAAACCCTTCCTCTCTGCTGCCCAGAGCGCCGTGGTGAAGCTAGGGGAGAAGATCTCATTACAGTGAAGTTCAGCACACATCCCACTTGATATATTTTCACTGGCCAGGGAAGGAGGAGCCACCCTTTCATAACTCAAAATGGGGAACATCAAGGCACCTTTATTCTAGGTCCTGTGAACCAAAGCTTCTCAGGGAACTACAGGTGCTATGATTGGCACAGTGGCAGCCCTTATGTGTGGTCAGCCCTAGTGATGCCCTGGAGCTTGTGGTCACAGGTAGGTGCACCCCAACCCAGTCCTGTGTCCTCCTCAGGGCCTTCACATCCAGCAGGAATGCAAAGAGATGCACTGAGAAAGAACAGTGGGGCAGTAGAGACTGCAAAGAGAGAAAGACTTTCATCCACACCCCATTCAACTTCCACATCCTCTTCTAGAGTTCTCCAGACAGTGCCTTTTAAAAATATTTGGTCCACCTGCACCCCAATGTTTCTAGCAGCAATGTCCACAATAGCCAAACTGTGGAAGGAACCTTGGTGTCCATCGAAAGATGAATGGATAAAGAAGATGTGGTTTATGTATACAATGGAATATTACTCAGCCATTAGAAACGACAAATACCCACCATTTGCTTTGACGTGGATGGACCTGGAGGGTATTATGCTGAGTGAAATAAGTCAATCGGAAAAGGACAAACATTATATGGTCTCATTCATTTGGGGAATATAAAAATTAGTGAAAGGGAATAAAGGGAAAGGAGAAAAAATGAGGGGGAAATATCAGAAAGGGAGACAGAACATGAAAGACTCCTAACTCTGGGAAATGAACTAGGGGTGGTGGAAGGGGAGGTGGGCAGGGGTGGGGGTGACTGGGTGGCGGGCACTGAGGTGGGCACTTGACGGGATGAGCACTGGGTGTTATTCTGTATGTTGACAAATTGAACACCAATAAAAAATAAATTTATTTAAAATAATAATAATAAATAAATAAATAAATAAATAAATAAATAAATAAATAAATAAAAATATTTGGTCTAGGAAACATGTGTGCTCAGGGGTTGAGTGTCTGCCTTTGGCTCAGGTTGTGATCCCGGGGTCCTGGGATCGAGTCTCGCATCAGGTTCCTCATGGGGATCCTGCTTCTCCCTCTGCCTATGTCTCTGCCACTCTCTGTGTCTCTCATGAATAAATAAATAAAATCTTTAAAAAATATATTTGGTTTGTTAAGAATAGAGTGGCCAATGTTCAGAATCACATTGAGGAGCATTGTTGAGACAACAGATCCCAGACACCACCTCAAACTAACCCACTTCTCTTCTTCACATGCTTAGTTGTATCTGGATACCCTTAAACTAATCTTCAGTACTAGGCTCCACTCTGAGTGATCGGCTGGTAATTTATAGTTTGTGGGAAGAATTCTAAAAACTCTAACACGAGCCACAATATCATAGTGTTTGCATCTCTCTGCTCAGCAGAAGACAAGTTACAGCAAAGGGAAGCAACTGCTAATCACTGAACAGGGAAACCACATTAATCTCTCATGCCCACCTTGTCTGGGTCACTCAACAAACTGAGCACAAATACTAGTCATGGCAGTGTAAGATCATACAGGCTGGAGTGCTCTTTTAATTTAACAATGCATGGATAATTAGGCATTGATGGAGGAGGAGTGAATTTATTAGTCTTTTTCTTTAGAGCAGATAGTCACTGTATTTTGTTTTAGAAATCATCTAATCCAGTATCAGGATACTACCACCCTGTATTATCTTCTTAAACTCAAAATATTTTGCACTTTGCAATTAGGAACTAATTTGAAATTCCAAATCCATTTGAAATTAATTTCTGTATTTTAACAAGAGAGAGTTACTATGATTTCTGAGCGTTGTCATCTCACAGTATTTTATTACATCCTTGAAAGGATATAGGCCCAGAAAGTCCATATAACAAATAAAGAAATGTGTTTAAAGATTCAGAGAACAGCAATGTCTAGTAAACAGTCATACAATAGTGGAGATACATTTTACCTAAAAGTACCTGAAAATTTTCTCCGAGCTGCTTCCCAGATATGAATAGTGCTATCCTTTTTCACGTATGAAAGAGGAACACAAGTCATATGTGGGATGAAGAAAATGTAGAGGAGAAAATTTAGGGTTCTGAATATGTGGAGGTGTTGTAAGGATATGACTAGACTTTCAGGGAAATCACTACATAAAGAGGTAATGAAAAGCAAATACAACATTCACATGATCACCTCCTTTCCAGTTCACAAGACTCCCCCTTGGACCCAGGCTCAAAGATTAAGTATGGTGCTCATGAATGCATAAGCTTGTTGAGGAGGGGTTCTGACTGTAATCACAAATAGGGAAATGAGTTCCCCTTTCAGGGCTCTGGGGTTGGGATGAAATGGAACATGACCAGCCAGTGATTGCTCATCTCCTTTGAATTATGTCTGTAGATATAATGAACCAAGATTACACGATGGGGAATTTGATCTGAATGAGTGTAGCTGGGCTGGCCATACTGGTTGAAAATTGGCATAGTCATCACGCTCCAAGCAAGGAAAACTGGCCATATTTTCCTGAACTGAGCCAGAGTAAACAGGAATGTTAGACAGAATGGACTTTTGGACAAACTCCTAACACCCACAAGGTAGATACCTGTCAGTGAAGCAGAAGTGAGTCAGCATTGTGGAGTCCTGCAGAGCTACTGGGAGAACAAAAGAGAATGAGGCACTAAGAATTTTGGATCCACTTTCAAACCAATCCAATGGTATTTTCTTATACATATCTGGTATCGTTGTACACCACCTTTCTAGATGTTGGTGAGAAAATTCTTGGTATAGTCTTGGCTTAACTCATTTCCTGTGATAAAAAGCATGAAAAAGAATTCTCAGTTCTCATTGCTATTTTGCTCCCAGCCTCTGTAAGAAGATCTGGCTCAAAACTTCGTTCTGTCTTGAATTTAGCAGCAAAACCAGATCCCCTCATATCCTTCTAGGTAAAACCTTAACACTTAGAATTCCACTCATTATTAATACTACTAATTAATTATTAACACTGTCCACTCATCATACCATATATTCCATGACATATGTGCTTCTGGTGTCCCATCACCTAGTCATGTTTTCCCCATTGTTAAGAAACTAAAATTTTTTCTTTTTATTTAATTATTTAAAATAAATTAATTAACATAGTGTGTTATTAGTTTCAGTGGTAGAGTTTAGTGATTTATCAGTTGCATGTAACACCCAGTGCTCATCACATCAAGTGCCCTCCTTAATGCCCATCACTCAGTTACCCTATTTCCCTATCCTCATCCCCTCCAGCAACCCTCAGTTTGTCTCCTATAGTTAAGAGTCTCTGTGGTTTGTCTCTCTCTCTCTCTGATTTCATCTTATTTTATTTTTCCCTAGCTCCTTCCCCTTCCTTTTCATAGCTCCTTCTCCTATGTTCATCTGTTTTGTTTCTTAATTTCCACTATGAGTGAAATCATGATGCTTGTCTTTCCCTGATTGACTTATTTCACTTAGCATAATACCCTCTAATTCCATCCACATCATTGCAAATGGCAAGGGGATGGATTGAGTGGGTGCCTGGGCAGTGAGGGGAGTACTTGATGGGAGCACTGGGTGTTATGCTATGTGTTGGCAAATCAAACTCCAATAAATAAATATATATATCATATATATATGATATATATGATTTCATTCTTTTCAATGGCTGAGCAATATTCCATTGTATATATGTAACATTTCAAAATGTCTCATGTCTCTATTGCAAGGTCAATAGACTAGTGAAAATAGCTCCAATAAGCATCTCCTCTGTGAATTTTCAATAGACTGGTTAGTCTATTGATCCATCCCTTTGTAGTATTTATCATGAGGTCTACAAGGCATAAAATATTATAAATATTTATTGAGATTATGAATGAATAAGTTGATGAGAAAATGTTAGTGATTAGGCCAGACAAAACTATGAGTAAGTGCCACAGTTTCAGAGGATGGCTAATCAGAGACTTTGCAGCAGAGCCAGGATGCAATAGGGCTGGATCCTGACAGAGGGATAAGATTAGCCTCACACGCTTAGTTTTTTCCACATAAGAGCCTTGTTTGGAAAAGCATACTATAACCTTGGGAATAAAAGCATCCTCCCCTCCTAGGAAAAGACTATATTATCCTGTAGCCATGATGACAAGGAGCCACCAGAACCAATTTTTCACCCATTGTCAAGGCGCACTCACCTCAGTGAAAATGCCTTGGCAATTCAACCAATCACCTCCTTGCATTTAAATGTCAGCCAATCAGAAACAAGTTTACTCCTGTAAGCATACCTTGAATAGCAGCCAATCAAAGTCCCCCTCAAAAAAACATCTTTTACAGATGATACCAAACTACAAGAGGCCCTGAGAAACCACATTTCCCAAAAACCCTGTCTAGGGTCATCTGTAGGCTCTGCTCAGAGGCTCAAAGACACCATGTCTGGCCAGCTTCACTCTCCCTCAACATAGCAAAAATAAATTCTGCTTTGCCTTTTTTTTTAAAATTTTTATTTATTTATGATAGTCACACACAGAGAGAGAGGCAGAGACAGAGGCAGAGGGAGAAGCAGGCTCCATGCACCGGGAGCCCGACGTGGGATTCGATCCCGGGTCTCCAGGATCGCGCCCTGGGCCAAAGGCAGGCGCCAAACCGCTGCGTCACCCAGGGATCCCATGCTTTGCCTTTTTTTTTTATTTCAAGCACTGAATGGTGAGTGCATTAGCCTCTGATAGTTCATATATTGGGCTGATTTAGGTTACACCTAAGGCTTGGCTTATATACCAGGGACTTATATACCAGGACCTTCACTTCTATGTTAGGCTTTATGCTAGTCACTTCATTTATAGGAGCATACTTCAAGGCTGTGAATTTTATTCTATTCATTCCACCTCTCATGTGAGCAAACAGACACTCATAAATGATATGATTTGATGAGCACCTGCTGGATCAGTTGGTAAAGCATGAGACTCTTGATCTTGAGGTTGTGAGTTTGAGTCCCACACTGGGTATAGAGACTACTTAAGAGTAAATAAACAAAAACTTTAAAATGTTATGATTTGAATAATGATACAAATATATGGATTCTGTTTCAGTTTGGGATGGTGGTGATGGTCCCAAAACAGTGTGAATGTGCTTAATGCCACTGAACCATACAAAAAAAATGGTTAAAATGAAACCCTATCTGTCAAGCAACAATTCCCCTTGGGGGTATAGAGTTTAAGTATTGAAAGATGAAAAAGTTCTGGAGCCTCACTTCATAACAATGTGAATGTACTGCACACTACTGTACAATTGGTAAAGATGGTAAATTTCATGTTATATTTTTTTTACTACAATAAAGAAAATTTTTAAATAGTTAAAATGATAAAAAAAATTATATGTATTTTTTTACTACAATTTGTGAAAAGCTCTTAGTTCTTTGTGGTCTGTAGAGACTGAAAGTAGATTACTGGTTTCCTGGGGCTGGCAGAGTGAGGGGAAAATAGGCATCAATGACCATCAGGCATGGGGTTTCTTTTGTGGTAGTAAAAAAAAAAATTTAATTGCATTGTGGTAATGGTTGAGCAACTCTGTGAATATACTAAAAATTATTGAATTATACACTCTAAGTGGGTAAATTGTATGGTGTGTGAGTTATATCTCAATAAGTTTTTTTAAGTGCCAAAAAATTAATAAATTGTTAGTGACATACTGGGTGTTGCTCACCCTTTAAGTGATTGAGTGATGGTTTGAAATCCATCATCTCCAACATGGCTTACAGTCTCTAAACAGAGATTGTCCCAGGAGTATGAGTGTGAGCCTAAGAAGACTTTATAAGAAACCAGAAAGAAACTTCGTGAAGAGGATGGTATGGTTTACCATAGTATGTGGTGTCCAAGGAAGACACTGAAGGTTTAGGGGCATATCCCCCTAAAGCAATCATACAATACCTCTAATTAGCTGTATAAAACATGCCATTTACTTAACTTCTTCATACCTCAGGTTCCTTTTTTAAAAAAAGATTTTATTTATTTATTCATGAGACAGAGAGAGAGAGAGAGACAGAGACACAGGCAGAGGGAGAAGCAGGCTCCCTGCAGGGAACCCAATGTGGGACTTGATCCTGGGACCCCAGGATCTTGCCCTGGGCTGAAGGCAGATGCTCAACTGCTGGGCCACTCAGGCATCCCATACCTCAGTTTCTTGTCTGCAAACTAGGGGGATAAATGCTACCAACTTCACTGGGTTATCATGAGGTTTCAAGGAGTTAATGGTTGCAAACAACACAAAACAAAGCCTGATACATAGTAAACAATTTCAAGACTGGATAACACAAACCATACCTTCAAAGATGATTCTGTTGGACTCCAGAGTGGCTCAGTGGTTGAGCATCTGCCTTTGGCTCAGGGTGTGATCCCGGATTCTGGGATGGAGTCCTGCATCAGGCTCCCTATGGAGAGCCTGCTTCTCCCTCTGCCTATGTCTCTGCCTCTCTCTCTCTGTGTCTCTCATGAATAAATAAATAATCTTTTTTTTAAGCCACAATAATCAAGACAGTGTGCTATTGGCAAAATAATAGACAAATAGATCAATGGAACTGAGTAGAGACCCAAGAAATAGAACCCACATAAATATAGTCAACTGATCTTTTCTCAAGTTTGTTTGTTTGTTTTTTGTTTGTTTATTTATGTAATCTGTACACCCAATGTGGGTCTCAATCTCACAACCTTGAGATCAATAGTCACACACTCCGCTGAGCCAGCCAGGTGCCCCATAGTGATGCCTTTTCAGATACAACACCAAAGATACAAACTATGAAACAATCAAACTTCAAGAAATAAGCTGAACTTTATTAAAACTAAAAACTTAAAAAGAACACTAATAAAAAAAACAATGTCAAGAGAATTATAAGACAAACTACAGACTGGAAGAAAATATTTTTTTATTTTAAAATTTTTTATTTATTTATTTTATTTTTTTATTGGAGTTCAGTTTGCCAACATATAGCATAACACCCAGTGCTTATCCCGTCAAGTGCCCCCCTCAGTGCCTATCACCCAGTCACCCCAAACCCCCGCCCACCTTCCTTTCCACTACCTCTTGTTCATTTACCAGAGTTAGGTGTCTCTCATGTTTTGTCACCCTCACTGATATTTTCACTCATTTTCTCCCCTTTCCCCTTTATTCCCTTTCACTAATTTTTATATTCCCCAAATGGATGAGACCATATAATGTTTGTCCTTCTCCGATTGACTTACTTCACTCAGCATAATACCCTCCAGTTCCATCCACGTTGAAGCAAATGGTGGGTATTTGTCGTTTCTAATGGCTGAGTAATATTCCATTGTATACATAAACCACATCTTCTTTATCCATTCGTCTTTTGATGGACACCGAGGCTCCTTCCACAGTTTGGCTATAGTGGACATTGCTGCTATAAACACTGGGATGCAGGTGTCCTGGCGTTTCACTGCATTTGTATCTTTGGGGTAAATTCCCAGCAGTGCATTTGCTGGGTCGAAGGGCAGATCTATTTTTAACTCTTTGAGGAACCTCCACACAGTTTTCCAGAGTGGCTGCACCAGTTCACTCC